TATTTATTTATTCATGAGAGACAGAGAGAGAGGCAGAGGGAGAAGCAGGCTCCCAAGGAGCAGAGAGCCCGATGCGGGACTCGATCCAGGACCCTGGGATCATGACCTGAGCTGAAGGCAGACGCTTAACCATCTGAGCCACCCAGGCGCCCGTGACTCAACATTTAATAATGCGTGGTGCACTAAAAGCTGCAAACTACTACATGGCCATCTCCAGGTCCACTTTAACTCAATCAGGAGACCACTATCGAAACATTAACTCACTGGTACAAAGTGGAGATCAAGTAGTTGAGAATGTTCCTAGGCTGAGGTCTAATGGGGAGTAAAGAAGATGATCTCATGTCTCTTTATGATCTATAAATCACATTATTCCATAAATTTGACATAAGTGTCAAGATTAGGACTCAGTCAATCTCTAAGTAGGAAAACAAAAACAAGCAGCTGCCAATTTTCTGACTTAAATCTAGAAGCTGGCATACAGGTTATTTAGCATAGAGATGATTCAATGTAAAATAATGTAAAATATCAAGCAACTTCTTCTTACTTCTAAAGTTCAAAAAAATTTAGTATTTTAGAATTTCAACATTGGCAGAAACTCAAGAACCTTCTTCAGGCCTAATGGGATTTTGTTAATGATATATTCAAACTTCAGTTAGGTGTTTTTGAAAGCACTAGTACAAAATAAAGTTTTAGTAAATTTGACCAGTCTCTGAAGATGTATTCTTATAAATGGGGCAGTTTAAAGCCAAATTTCAGTTAGGATAGTGTCCATGTTTATTTAATTTGTTTTGGTATTTCAGGCAAAAACAAAGTAACAACCATCAAAGAAATGAGATTTGGAGCGACAGGTTACAATTACTTCCGAAAAAGCAACACTCCACTGCAAATAATGTCAATATCCCTAAAGCCACCTGTTAAAATAGCAGTCTATGCATTCCATCATTCTTTAGCTGTAACCACAAAGTCTGGTTTTACACCTAGGATATACAAGAAGCATCAGATTAAAAGCATCAAATACCAGCCTATACAAATTTGCCAAACAAATGCAGCAAAAGAAAAGCAGATACAAAGTTAAAGAACTAGGCTCCAAAGGATTTAAATACACCCAACAAATTCCAATCCAAGTTCATACTGTGCTTCAACCTAAAGCTGATAAGTAACGACCAATTCTGATATCTCCTATTCCCCACTAGTTAGATCTCCCCTTTATCTCCTGAATTTCTCCACTGATCTCATCACTTCTTAGGAGTCTTGCTATTGTAATCTCCATGGCCTTTCCTTTCTCAGAAAGTGATACAGCACCAGGCCCCATATTTTACTTTCTTTACAATTTAGCACTATGTTTTGTTTTACCCTATTAGATATTAATTTTTTCCCCAATCTCCTGTACCCATGTTTCCCTGATGGATCAACCTCTTGCTTTTTATCACTTCGTGCTCGCTACAATATTTAGCCTCTCCTTTCAAAGTAGAGTATGTATCCCTTTTTCTGACATTTGTAATTCTGGCTCACCATCAACACCCCCTTCCTTCCCTAGAGACTATCACCATAATCCTAGGTCTCCATCCCTAGCCCTTCTCCTCCTAAGTAAGGCCTCTTCCTTTGCAGAGTTTGTCAACATTAGTTTGGCCAAACTGGGATTGTACCCTGAAGGCAAAGGCTATCTCCCCTCCTCCCCACCCCACCCCCACATTCTACAGAACTACAAGTCTCCCACCTGCCCTGGCTTTCTCTCTTCCACCCTTAGATCCATCTGCATCCCGCCTTGCCCGTTCCCCCCCGCCCCCCACCTTATATCTCTCCTTCCACTAACCCGCGCTCCCCTTCCCCACTCCTGAACGCACCTCCTCTGCTGGGCCTTACCCGTAACCCTGACACCGAGAAGGCCCTGCCAGCAACCTCACGGCGTCTCTCCTCTGGGCTTCCTCCGCTCTTCAGTAACTGTCCCCACGCCCCTTTCCCTCCAGGGCCCCGCGCGCCGCCCAGAGCCCCCTCCCCGATTAAGCTCCCGCTGTCACTTGGCCTCTCATCCACAAGATGGCGGAGCTGTTGCCCCCACCCCCGGGTCCTCTCCGCAACCCCCTCCCTCCTCCCTAGAGCTCCCGTCCGGTCCCTTCAGCTGCCCCCGCCGCCAGCCTCGGCCCAGGATCCCGCTGCCCCCTCCTCCGGCGGGCAGGCGGCCCAGGCCCGAGCCTCAGCGACGTCGCCAACGCCACCGCCTCCACCGCTCCCCGGCCTGCGCCTTCTCCTCACCATAAACTTGAGCGCTTTTTCCTGCAGCACCGCCTCCGCTGGGTCCATAATCACCGGGGGCCACTGGGTCTGCACTCCGCCGGGGCCGCCCCCTTGGTGCCAGGCCGCAGCCAACGCAGCGCCCGGATCCGCCTCCTCTTCCTTCCCCCCGCCCTCTTTTACCTCTCAGGCACCGGCAGGGGGCCAGGGAGGACCCGCTGTTCGGTGCACATGCGTGAGCCCACTGGCTCACGGGATTTGTAGTGCTGGGGTTCCCGCGGCAAAAAGTGAGGCCTAGACGCGAACCGCAACTCCCGCGGTTCACTGCGGCACGGTCGCTGCGGCCGAAAGCCAAATCTAGACGACTCGCCATCAAGTAGAGGAAATCGGCTGATGGGAATCGTAGTTTACAGCCTCTATGGATGGGAAACGGGAGGGGGCACGGGTGTCTCCGTGGTTACCGAGCGACGCTAGTGGCTGCTTGCCTGGTATTTGATATCAAGATGGCGAGCATTGCCTCACTTGTAGCCCAAATACTGGAAAAAACTGTGAGAGGACTCAGAGGTCCTGGCAGCACCTCACAGACCAATGCAGAATTTCAAGGTCCTCCTAACCTATCACCCCACACTGCTCCTGAAGACCTTATTCTATCCCCACAAAAAGTCAGGGCCAGAGAGAACTCACCTCAGGAAATTCTTGGGTGTTTTGTGCTCAGAAGGTTTGGCCTGGTAATGCTAACCCTCGGATTGAAGCCTTGTATTAAGGGTCAAAAAGTGGGATATAACGGCCTTCAATGGTGGGATATAACGGCCATCCACCATATAAATCTGTAAGTATTTAGTTTGGCCTTGAAAGGGACAGTACGATTTTATTTTGGAGATTGGATCTACCCTACTCTCTCAATACCAGGGTTGGGCTAAAAGTGACAGGCTAGTAGAGAATATCCAAATTGATAAAATAAGTGAATTAGGGAAATGCCTTTTCACTTACAGGAAAAATTTCCATTGTAAACTGTTTTATTCATCTGTTCAACGAACAGTAAGCACATAACTGTGTCCAGACATCATCCTAAGAAATGGGGATTCATTGGTGAACATGACAGACCCAAGCTTGTGGAGCTCACATTTCTAGTATGTTGATACTTTGTTCTAGTCATCTTTACGTCCACAGAACTCAGCACAATACCTAATACCTAATAGGCTTTCACTTAATAAAAAAGTTTTACTCTTGAATTAAAAAAAGTTCTACGCAAGTGCAAAATGGAGAAGGCTGCAAATTCATACACATGAAAACTACCTGGAAGTCTCCATAGGACTAAGGCGGTATGTGACACAGTTGCCAAATATGCTAAAGGAGTTCTAGGCAGCTTGAAGAGTAGTGTCTGGGGAATAGGGGCTTATGGTCTTTGTTTTGAAGCAGTCAGACCACACCTGGAATACTTTGTTCAGTTATGGGCACCATGTCCAACAGACATGGTATGCAGGAGCATAGCCAAGGCCAGGATGACCATGGGAGAAAATATTGGTAGATGCTTCCTCTAAGAAAAAGAGCATGTAGGAATAACATGACAACTAAATTCAAGTGCTTGAAAGTATTGAAAGGCATATGTAGATAGTATATGACAATAATAATAGCTACCGCTTTATTAGCTCTTTTGTGCCGGGCATGCACTAGGAATTTTTTATTCATAATCTCTAATATGGGGTGCCTGGGTGGCTCAGTCAGTTAAGCATCTGCCTTTGGCTCGGGTCATCATCCTGGGGTCCTGGGATCGAGCCCCTTCTCAGCAGGGAACCTGCTTCCCCCTCTACCCTCCCCTGTGCTTGTGCTCTCTCCCTTTCTCTCAAATAAATAAGATCTTTTAAAAAAACTTACATAGGGGCGCCTGGGTGGCTCAGTCGTTAAGCGTCTGCC